CCAAACCCTTCAAAATCCCTCTCTTCTACACATTTTAGCCACAATTTCCTCCAAGCAGAGTTCAAGGTCCTGTTAGTCACTCCCTCCCAAGCCTTACCTACAAGGTTTATACAGCTGAGGATACTAAAGTGATCTTTCCAAAACTCTCTTAGGGTCAATTGAGTGTCTGAGGTCACTTCAAAGCACTTCTGAAACATTGCTTTGGTGTACAGTTTTTTTAAATTTGAAATGACCTGCTGGTCCATGGGCTGGAGGAGAGGAGTGGTATTAGGAGGCAAGAATTTCACTTTGATAAAACTCAACTCCCCTGAAATTCGCTCTGGCAAGTCTGAAGGATGAGCAGGAGCATTGTCTAATACCAGGAGGCACTTAACTCTTTGACTGTCACAATCCCCAATCCTAAGGTGTCTCCTGGTGTCGCAAAATTTAAAAAAAAAAAATTATTATTTTTTCTTATGAAATGATAAGAGAATCTTTTCCCGATTGTAATGACACCAAAAAACGAAATTTGATGGAAAACTGACGGAATTATGCTCTCGCGAAGTTAGCAACCTAGGCGCTGTTTACAAATCGGCAATTTCACCCACTTTGAGCCCTATTTTCGGCTAATTCCATTGTTCCAGTTGCCCAAACTTATAGCTATTTCTTTAGAACTCCATTTTTTCTATCGATTGAGTACAAGAAACTGCCCATTTACCGATTTCAGCTACCTAATAATGTGATCAGAAATTTGCAATTTGGCCAATTTCACAAAAACTAAAAAATATGACAATTTCAAAATAAGGTCCAGAATGAACAATGCAGACATTCCTGGCTCTAAAATAACATTTTCTTTGCTCATCAGTCATGTCTCCAGGCCCCTCTGATATTACTCTTGCTTTCTATTTTGAATTTTTATTCAAACAAAAAATAGAAGACTTACTATTATGCAGACTACTGCAATACTGTAATAATTGTATAAATAACATCAACCCATTCATGACTGCATATTAGAATGGCTAGTTGGACATTTATTGGACAATGGCATCATTTGTTTACTTTTGAACATTGGCAAAAATCAAACATTTCCCCTACTTTGAGCTCCATTTCTAGGTTCTTTTTATAGTAAAATCAATCAAAATCACCTCTATTTCTATAATATGTTTTCCATTCTATCAAATGAGACCAAGAAAACGAGAATACAACCATAAATACCATACGAAAATAGACAACAAAGTCGGCATTTTAATTAAAAAAAACGGTCGGAGTTTTTTTTTCTCATTATGCACTGTGTGCTCCAGGATTTTTTTTATATGGTGCACACTGACCACACAGACCCATTCTCTCACATGTGGGCCTACCAGCTTTCTCCTGCTTGATTTGAAGCCACTAGAATTTATGAGTATATATATGTCAAACACGGTACCTCGTAAGACGTATATATACGGCCGCGACAGTCAAAGGGTTAAGGTCCAATTTATTTTCCAGGAGGTAATTTTTCACAGTGGGGCCATACACATGGTAAAACCAGTCATAAAAAATGTCCCTAGCGACCAATACCTTACTGTTTGCCTTCCACATCACACACAAATTAGCCTTGACGACATTGTTTTTCCTGAACACACTGGGAGTTTCAGAGTGATACATGAGTAGAGGCTTCACTCTGCAATCCCCACTAGCATTTCTACACAACATTAAAGTAACCCTGTCCTTCATAGGCTTGTGTCCTGGGAGTGCTTTTTCCTCCTGTGTAATGTAGGTCCTGTTTGGCATTTTCTTCCAAAACAGCCTTGTTTCGTCACAATTAAGCACTTGTTGGGGTTGCAATCCTTCAGCCTCTATGTACCCCTGGAGTTCCTGCACATATTTTTCAGCCGCTTTTTTGTCCGAACTGGCAGTCTCACCATGCCTTATCACACTGTGTATGCCACTACAATTCTTAAATCTCTCAAACCAACCTTTGCTGGCCTTAAATTCACTCACATCACCACTAGTTGCAGGCATATTTTTTAATTAAATCATCATGCAACTGCCTTGCCTTTTCACATATGATCGCTTGAGAGATGCTATTTCCTGATATCTGTTTTTCGTTTATCCACACCAATAACAGTCTCTTGACATCTTCGAGTACTTGCATTTTGTGTTTCGAAAAGATACTTGCACCTTTTGCAACAACAGCTTCCTTGATTGCCTTTTTGTTGGCCCAGATAGTAGCGATGGTTGACTGGAGTTTGTTGTACAACCTGGCCAGCTCGGAGACACGCACTCCACTCATATTTTGTGATTATCTCTTTCTTCATTTCTATATTAATTTTCACCCTTTTTACCACAGGGTTGGCACTAGAAGCTTTCTTTGGTCCCATGGTGGCTTATTTAGCAGTTACAAGCACTAAAAACACTGGAATAATACAAAATGTACCGAATGTATGCATGGGAATGACTGCACTGGCTTGTAAACATTGGCACACTAACTGAAGGCAGGGCAGCTAAGGCGTGCTCAGGCCAGAGGGATGCATGGACATGTTTGGGACGAATGATGTAAGTCGAGTTTTTGTTCGTACGTCGGGGGAAATTTTTTACACTGAAATGCTTTGTAAGTCAGGGGTTCACTGTATACAAAATATGGACTCGTATTACTGTGCCTATTACATATACAGAACATTAAACTCCATTATCAACCCTCCTCTCAAACTTCTCCTTGATAGCTACAAGAGAACACGCAGGCACAACACTAGGCATAAAACTGACATCCCTCATGTCCGTCTCACCCTATGCAAAAATACAATGCACATAAAGGGCTCAAAGATCTGGAATTCATCGCCAGAACCAGCAAAAGGTCCCGTCTGCCATTCAATTTAGGGCTACAGTAAAAAAAAAATCGCCTCCTCACCCAAATTTAACTACAGTAGACCGTCATTTAGCACGAATTTATTTGACACAATTTGGGCATTGCATGATTGAAGAAATGTGGCACAATTTTATGCAACACGTCGTATAATTAATTTAACATGGTTCAGTTTGTGGGAAGGAAAAATAAAATTCTCTTTTGCTCAAGCAGCCGCCTTGTGGAGCAGCCGGGGAGCCCTCCCACCATCTCCTGCCATTCCCAGACACCACCCCACCATCCCAGCATTCGCAATTCATGTGTGTCCAGTCTTTCTCTGCTACAAGGCAGCTTTGTTTGTGAATTGTGTTATATTTTAATTACTATATCTTGTATCTACCAAGCAATCATGACACCCAGTAGCCATACCAGTGTTGCTGAAAGTGGCACGATAAGGTATAAGCTCTGAAGTCTTAGAATTAACAAAGAAACAAAGATATTAGACAAGAGATAACCTGTAGCCATAATGAAGTGTTACTTTGCACACAGAAAAAGAAGTAAATATGAGTTTGTGTGACTGACTGAATGACTTACTGAATGACTGACTTACTGAGTGACCTGACTTACTTCCTGAATGATCTGACTTACTGAATGACTTGACTGACTTACTGAATGACTTGACTGACTTACTGAATGACTTTGATGGACTTACTGAATGACTTACTGAGTGACTTCACTGACTGAACGACTTAAAGTTAGACACTCCAGTGCAACCATCGACTTCAGTACCAGAACCTCTACCATCCACCTCAGCCCAGTAGGGCCACAACATAACTCTCCACTCTCTTCACAATCATCCACAAACACCAGTATCCACAATTTAAGGTAAGAAATACTATTATTTCTGTTAAATTTGTAGTCTTAAGCAGTAAAAACAACAAAATACATCACAACAATGAACTACAACTACATATTCACTTTTATTTTTGTAAGATGTGGAGGCCTAAATAGTTGTTTGGCTTTTTGGGGGCTCCCAGGAATGTAACCCTATTTTTCCCATAAGTTCTTCAGTTCATCTCACACAATTTTACCTAACACGGCATTTTCAGGAATGTAACTACTGTGCTAAATGACGGTCTACTACCAACACTACACTATGCCTGAAATAGGTCCAGTTTGAAACTACATACTCAAGAAATCCAAATTAACTATTCACTAAATCAATTTTAAAGATTAAATACACACATAAAATTGTATTACGTATAGTACTAATGTAAGTTATAATAATTATATTCTGCTCTGTACTATAAATTTTATTAATTATAAATTTTGCTACCTCCCATTGTTGTAATAATACATAATTAAAATTTACCAATCTATATCCTATGTCATTTAACCTATGGTCATTTAGAGAGAATGGATCAAAGTAGAATGACATGGAGAGCATATAAATCTGTAGGGGAAGGAAGGCGGGGTAGGGGGTCGTCCTCGAAAAGGTTGGAGGGAGGGGGGGTAAAGGTGGTGTTGTGGGCGAGGGGTTTGGACTTCCAGCAAGCGTGCGTGAGCGTGTTAGATAGGAGTGAGTGGGGACGAATGGTATTTGGGACCAGACGAGCCGTTGGAGTGTGAGCAGGGTAATATTTAGTGAAGGGATTCAGGGAAACTGTTTATTTTATACAACTGGATTTGAGTCCTGGAAATGGGAAGTACAATGCCTGTACTCTAAAGGAGGGGGTTGGGATATTGGCAGTTTGGGGGGATATATTGTGTATTTTTATACGTATATACTTCTAAACTGTTGTATTCTGGGCACCTCTGCAAAAACAGTGATTATGTGTGAGTGAGGTGAAAGTGTCGAATGATGATGAAAGTATTTTCTTTTTGGGGATTTTCTTTCTTTTTGGGTCACCCTGCCTCGGTGGGAGACGGCCGACTTGTTGGAAGGAGGAGAAAAAAAAAAATCCTATGTGTAGTTTTAAGTAGTGTGTAAACACTAGAATTAGTCTGCCTGAAATGCTCATGCATTCTAGCGGTTTTCTTTGTGCTTGACAGTATTTTATTACACGTAAACTACACATTGTACTGTACAAAGAAATAAATTATTTGATTTAATTTTAACAAGTTCCATAGTGCAGTTGTACCAGTAGCAGCCCCATGCAGCACATTTCAAATAAATTGCAAACTAAACAAAACTCACAAATAAACAACAGCAGATGCAAGCATAACACTGATGTAGGAGAGAGGAAGAGTAAAGATGTTGTATGTCATAATGAAGAGTGGTCCACGGTACAGTCCCTCCCGTGCCTCGTGGTAGTACCGTGTCCGATGCTGTGCAACTTAAGTAAACATTAAAATAATTATTAAAAATGGTAGAACTACTGACAAAATGTTAGGTAAATGGACAGAGCTGCAACTCATGTAGCATTTTAGTGTGGCAATGTTTTGCCTTCCAGAAGAGTGAAATGTTGCCACAAAATGTCACATTAGTTGCATGCATGTCCATTTACCTAACATTAACCCCTTGACTGTTGCAACCCCCAATCCTGAGGTGTCTCCTGGTGTCGCAAAATTTAAAAAAAAAAAAAATTATTTTTTCTTATGAAATGATAGAGAATCTTTTCCTGATTGTAATGATACCAAAAAAAAAAAACGAAATTTGATGGAAAACTGGCAGAATTACGCTCTCGCGAAGTTAGCGACCTTGGCGATATTTACAAATCGGCAATTTCGCCCACTTTGAGCCCTATTTTCGGCTAATTCCATTGTTCCAGTCAACCAAACTCATAGCTATTTCTTTAGAACTCCATTTTTTCTATCGATTGAGTACAAGAAACTGCCCATTTACCAATTTCAACTACCCAATAATGTGGTCAGAAATTTGCAATTTGGCCAATTTCATGAAAATTAAAAAATATGACACTTTCAAAATAAGGTCCAGAATGAACAATGCAGACATTCCTGGCTCTAAAATAACATTTTCTTTGTTCGTCAGTCATGTCTCCAGGCCCCTCTGATATTACTCTTGCTTTCTATTTTGAATTTTTATTCAAACAAAAAAATTCAAGATTTACTGTTATGCAGACTACTGCAATACTGTAATAATTGTACAAATAATGTCAACCCATTCATGACTGCATATAAGAATGGCTACTTGGACATTTATTGGACTGACATCATTTGTTTACGTTTGAACATCAGCAAAAATCAAGCATTTCCCCTACTTTGAGCTCCATTTCCAGGTTCTTTTTATAGTAAAACCAATCAAAATCACCTCTATTTCTATAATATGTTTTCCATTCTATCAAATGAGACCAAGAAAACGAGAATACAACCATAAATACTATATGAAAATAGACCACAATTCGGCATTTTAATTAAAAAAAAGGTCAGTTTTTTTTCTCATTATGCACTGCCTGCTCCAGGATTTTTTTTATATGGTGCACACTGACCACACAGACCCATTCTCTCACATGTGGGCCTACCAGCTTTCTCCTGCTTGATTTGAAGCCGCTAGAATTTATGAGTATATATACGTCAAACACGGTACCTCGTAAGACATATATATATATGACCGAAACAGTCAAGGGGTTAAAATAATTGTTAACATACAATGAGTAAACTATATGACTCAATGTACCAAAAAATAAACATTAAATATAATTAGTCAGTACAGTAAGGAAACAAAAGTTCATGTTAACAACATAAAAAGTAATAGGTTAAGATGGTAATGATAAAATTATTCAATAGATATGAAACACCATGTAGTAGGTCCCTGACTTATGATCATCCAACTTATAATAATCAGGATGCCAGGATAACCACTGCAGATATTCAACCCTTGACTCACAAAAGGCTTGCACAGATCAATTGATAATCATAATGAATAGAGGTACTGGCTATGTCTCGTCAACCTTTGCAACTTTTCAGAATCTCCCAGAAGAACAGTTATTGGCAGACAGTGACTGACAGCTCCCACTATCCTCTTCATTATTAGTTAATCCCACATCTCTCCCTAACACCATTGCATTCACCTTTATAACCCCCATCTGTGAATATTATGGCGTCATCAAATAATGCCTGCATTTACCATAAAAGGCCAAATTTTACTAGAAAATAGTACCTATCCTTTCCTACATCATTACTGTTATTGTGGCTAATTTACTGTCACATCACTGATATCATCGCAAGTGTTGGACATGTTGTATGAGCGCTGGACAGACAGATGGCACTGCCAAGCCTAAGATGTCTCAGTCATTCACACTGAAGAAAATACAGCTTAATATAGCCAGGATTTAGAGCTATACTAAAATTCATACCTTATCTCGTGACTTTTCACATTATCAAGAAACTATAGGCCATAAATCATAACAAATTGTCACTTAAGTGAAAAAAAAGCCCTGTCATTTGTGCTAAAAGAGATACAAACAGAGCTAGTGACTCCCATATCTAATGACCCAACAAAAGCATAAAGTGACCATTAACCCTTTCACCATCTCTTGTGTATAACTGTTGACACCACAGTTGCTTACGTAAATACGTATACGTTTTTTTGAACTCTGCTCACTCAGATAAGCCATGAGCAGTAAATTTTGGCCTAGATATGAGAGAATGGTTAATGTTTTAGTGCTTGGAATGCCTATTCCAAGACTTTTTAAACTGCAAATTTTGTTTTTTGTGTGCACTTTATAGGGAAGTTTTGATAGCTAAATGGGCAGATTTCTCATGCTCAATTGGTGGAACAGAAGGCATACTAGTGAAATATGTAGCTAAGAATTTGGTCAAACTGAGCAATGGTGAGCAATGAAAATGGCTTAAAATAGGGCTCAAAGTAGGCAAAATCACCGATGCATAAATTGCACCCCGACAGCTAACTTTGCACTTGGCGTAATTCCTCAAATTTTCCATCAAATTTCGTACCTTTTGGTGTCATTACTTTCAGAAAAAGATTCTCTACTATTTCAGAAGATTATTTTTTCTTTTAAATGTGGATACTGTGAGCACTTTTAATTCTGGGGCCCTGAGACAATGAAGAGGTTAAGGACAG